TAAGGTGGACTACTGGCCTCAGGGTGGTCGTCAAGACAAGTTTTGGTCGCTGTTATTTGAGAAAAAAATCAACTAAGTTGGCCACTGACCGATCTGCAGGAAAAGCCCGAACCCAATCGTCTAACCGTTCATTATGAGCTGACAAAATCGAGAATCACCGCAGAATCGCGGAATCAGTCATGTCTTGACGAGTTCCGTTGAGCGTTGACGAACGAACGGAAACGAACCGATGTTTCTTGCAAGTTATTCCTTGAAATGTGTTTTTCGGTAATTCTACTTATTCTAGAAATCAAAATATTCCGCAGAGTTTTTGCAAAACCGACCAAGAAAACCAGCGGTGTCTACAAACACGTTATCACAAATTTCGAATACGCTCACCTCGACACCAGAGTCCCCCCTTCTCCCCCCCCCAAACACACAAACAAACGTTGGTGCCCAAGCGCGTGTTTTCTGGCTCGCTGCTGTTAGTACCTCACGCCCACATGCACATCTCAGTATATGCAACGGAGATTGTCATATTAAAACACCCTTGCTGGACAATCTGGCGCACTTGCTTTGTGTCGGGGGCTCGCCGCAGCACGCTAGCACGCTGCGTGTCTGTCGCGACTTCCCAAACTCTGTGAACAGAAACCGTTCCTGCGGCCCAAAGCGGGGCCGTGCCTTCGGGGCGGGCCACCGTACAGCGTAATCTATATAAGGGCAGGCAATGACTGCGACCTCGATCCCGCTGATTGACACAGTGCCCATCCCGGAGCGAGGCGGCAGCCTCCCAGTTGTTGCCCGGAGCGAGACGGCAGCCTCCCAGTTGTTGCCCGGAGCGAGGCGGCAGCCTCCCAGTTGTTGCCACGTACGGGGTCGCAGCCAGTGGAAGACAAGCCGACCGAAGTCCGGCTTGAACCAAATAGCTACCGTCTACACTAGCACACTAGCACATTAAGCAAGCACATTAGCTAGCCAACGAGGCAGTTAGTGTAATTCCCCACAAGCCTCCTCGCGTCATGGCTTTTGTGTGTACCGCTATGAAATATGTAAAGTGTATGGTGCTAGAATTAAAGATCGATTTACGCCCAAACTAAAATAGCTGTGAGCCCCATCGTCATCCCTCATTCTCAAAAGCACTCCAACCGCCATCAGTCCACCCTACCAGATACAATATAATTCAGCAGCATGGTGACGCCCATGGTGAGCGCCTCTGGGAGTGCGGGTGAGGATTATGCTAGGCACGGGAAGGATACTGCCGCTTGGCTGCTTGGCTGCTTGGCTGCTTCCCACAATCGTCTCACGAAGTTGGGGAAATGCATGTCATCCGTTCAGTGTCCGTCACATTGCTATCAATGGTTGTCAATTTGCGAGTAAACTGCACATGTGAAGCAAAAAATTTATCGCAAAACCAGGGGCAATCCCGACAGATCATTGGTAGGGAAACGGTGTTTGACGGATGGACGTTATGTCGTTTTTCTTGAGTTGCAGTCAGCTTTTACCTGTTTTGAATTAACGTTTCACATTTGTGTGAGGTTTTGAACTTAGCTAACCACCTGGCACCACTTTACGAGAACTGCACGGCTTTACGTACATCAAGTCGCAAAACGTCTCCTTCACTGGGCTTGGACGCAATGCGACTGGGATAATTCCCCTTTGATTCGATCTGAGAGCGCCGTCATCGGTAATGATGACACACAAGAACGACAAAATCATTGAAGGCCATATCTCGAAATGCAACTGAATGGCACATCAACCAGACTTTTACGCGAGGGGACATTTGTGGAAAGGGAAGGGGGGGGAGAGCACGCCACAAAAAGCAACTCCCGGATTAGCGCGCCACAGATGTGCCAAATGCCTTGCACGGCGTAAGATGTTTTTAACTGTCAATAATGCGTGATAATATTCGAATTTGATACGCGCCCGACACACCCGACCCCACATGCCTAGTTTAGCGCAGCGGCAGCGGGTCACATTCTTGGATGGGGGCAGACAACTTCTCAGAGCCCCTTACCTAAAGCGGTGCGCGCCCCTCTCACGGCAGCGGATCCCTATCACCAGCAAAATTAATGGCATCAAAAGAAAACCGTAGAACCAAACCGACAACAGTAAGGGGCGCTGTGAATTTTTTTCTACAAAGATGCTGAAGAGGTTCGTGCCTTCAACGTCTGAACAGATCGAAACGAGTTTATTTGTCAATATGGTGACTAACCCAGGTTCACCTCAGGACTTGCACATTTTCTTCCAAATCGATAAGTGAAATAGTACACCGTTCGCAACACGCGCGTACGAAGGAATTCGAAATGAACGGATGGCACGCCTCAAAAATATTAAGTTAAGCCCGAGTTAGGGCACCACAGATGTGCCAAACTCATTGCATACATTACATATTACATATTGCATACATACAAACATTACACACTCCTTACAAACGCTTTCAGTTTTAAAAGGATTGCTTATATGGTTTGAGTTTTTACACACGTGGGAATATTAATGTGCGCGCAACTGACTGCATGTCATTAAGTTGATTAAGGGAAAGAGGCGAAGGGGCCGCGTGACCCCGAAGGCCACTACGCGCGTACACCTATAGTTTGTAACCTTAACCCGGCATTGACCGAGATCCGCAGCGGCATACCATTGACCGGAGAAGCAGACTTGCTCCTCCCCCCCCCCCCCCTCTCATCTTGAGAGCAACCGGGCCACATCAAATAAGTCAAATGGCGATCGATAGCGTGGTGGCGTGCGGTCTAAGACTACAAAACAAACGTAAGCGGCTTCAGCTACCACGCCGTAGTCTCGCCGCGGCAGAACTGAGCCTCGCCGGTACCGGCAATGCGATGTCTCAAGCCGTGGCTCAGTCATTGTTACAGAACAAAATGCATGCAATTGGGTAGCTTCATTTCTTCATAGTCATCTAGCATATCTCGTTCTGGTGTCCATAATTTGGAGTCTAATGCCGTACATTTCGAGCTTAATTTATACAAATATTTTTGTTGCTGACATACCAACATTTCAAGGAGCGATATTGAAACAACTCAAATAAGTGCGGCTAATTTCAGCCCTTTCGTCGGTAAATCTATCCTCGCTTGGAAAGTCGATGTGGGACATTCATGTTCGATTGTGCTAGTTCCATCAATTATCAACATGATGGTAAAAACCGTTTTGATTTCTTTCCAATTTGTTTGAATGGGACTCTCTGAAAGTCATTTTGGGAAAACAACTTGTTCGTTTTAGGTAGCTTTCCCACTAGGTTAGCTAACGCGGTTTTGGGGCGTTCAACAACTCTCAAGTTTATGCCTTAGATACCCGCAAATTTACATCAAGTTCCCAAAAGCTTTTGAGGCAAGCTGAATTCGCCAGGCCCATACGGAGCAGCATGCCCATCAAGGTATGTACAGGTCACTGTACGAACGTGATTGGGCACCTCAACTCAAGTGAAGACTTCAAGAATACTACTTGACGGATCTTTTCGTTATTAATATAATGTGATTTAGGACGTCAAGCTGGACCTTTTACCTTTTGAACGTTTAATATCGGACAATTTCGAGCCAAGGCATAGCCTCCCCCCCAAAAAACACTCAATTTTGCGTAGCGCTATGGGAAAACAGTTGTTCTCGTGTTTGAGGCCATTTGCGCACGTTTAAACGGAACAGACTGTGATAATGAAGGATAAAACTCGTCAGATGTATCACGTTGAACAAAAAAAAAGAATCTGTTGGTACATTTTTGAACTAACTCAGCGAAGAGGTACCCGCCATGATCAATCAAATGCAGAATGTGTATCTGTTTGGATCTTTGCACTTTACTAAACATAAAAATAAGTGACGAAAAAACTTGCCAGCTACATAGAAACATGCAGTAGGGTACAGGGTCTCTTTTGTAAACAAATGCAGTCAAATATTGTTACCCATCTTGGGGCATAGGTGATGTAAGTTGCACTTCTTCTGAAACAACTCGTAGAATATTAAGTATCCACATGTTCTGCTTTCAATTTTTCTTTTTAAAATGGGCATTTGATAAATCATATATCTGTCTGACCAGTGAGGGTCAACAAAAAGGGCCCGCTTTTTAGAGTTGTCTGATTTCAACGTTCTATGGCTCCTTCGACGCATAGTTACCAGTTACCAGTGATTCTGTAAGTAGAAACTTCCAAATTATGAGCTTTTAAAATCAGTTGCGCATGAGTTTCTAAGCTAATGCTTCTTGAAATGCTGATTCTGAACCTACAAATATATTTTTGATACGAGTTGAAGTGTTTTGGAGAATGTTTATTGCCGTGAAAAAGTATTCAATTTTTACCCTTTCTTCGGATATTTGGTCTTGTAACTTTTCCAAAAGGTGCACATTACAATTCCCTAAATCAACAATGTCTCAAGAATTGTGTCCGTGGAGCACGTCTTCGCCAGAGCACGTTTGAAAGATAGGTTGTGTGCGACAAAATGCATCGCTTTAAGTTTGACCAATTTAGAATAACGCACAATGTATTAATGAGACATTGTTACATAGATAACAAATAAACCTGCTCATTGTGACATTACCGTTTTTCGCAGAGAGCCGTTCATTCAAAAACTGATGGAGAAACAAGCCAAACCGAGTTTTCCCCGCAGCGTCACACTTAGCACATGAAAATGCCGATCAGTCAAAACATCAAAACAGCACAATTCGCCACTTCAAAAACTGAGGGAGATCCATAGTATCAATAAGTCATGCCAGAAAGCTGAAAACATTTTTAAAAATTCGGTAAACAAATCTTTGATTCTAAATTCCCGGCCCTGTAAAGGCCTGAGAGAAAAATCGCAAAAACTCGACGGCGAAAATCAATGTTATTTGTAAAAAATTATTCAGGCTAGCTGGTTCTCATATTGGACGCGTAAGTCTTGCCAACCGCGCTGCAAGACATATTATTGGGTAAAATTATTCCTTGGACATGGACTGTTGCAAGGCCTCATTCCGGCTGAGACCAAACAGCATTAGCTGCAAACGATCTGTGGTATAATGAGCTAGCACAGATATTCACTTACCCTGGGTATATACGGTAGAACCTCTGGCAAGGTGTTCCGGAAGAAATTAGTCTTCTGGCTAGGGTCCTTCATGTTGATGACGTCAAGAAACTGCAAGGCATGAACTGCTGGATCGCTGTAAGCACAGATAAAACATGCACAGGTTACTGAGGGTTTCTAAATCTAATCAAGTAGTACAGCTTGCCTTTATTGTGGACGATGGGCAAAATCAGCAACTCCGATAAAGAAACTCGGCGTCAGGACACAGTCGTTAAACAACTTTGCAAGCAGAATCAGGACGATTGGAGCACATACTGCCGAGAGCAGCGTGTGTCGTTATGCAATGTCGTACACGGTTTTGTAAAAACGCCCTGCATCAGTAGGTGGCGCAATGATATAAACGCAACACCACGTACCGAGGGCATGACTTAGTGATCCGGTGCAACGATTTCCAGAAAAGCTGCCCGCAGTCCGGCCCGAGTCGGCCAGCAGGTATCCAGGCCGCAAACGACCGCTGTGCTACAGTGCTGACCTGGCACAAGCCCGCAAGTGCTACGCCAGCCTGCGCCCGGCCGGGGGTCTGAGACAACCGCGCTCGGGTAAGTTGATTTCCCCCTGGAATCTCCAGCTTCCTGACGCCGTGTAAGAAAAACAATGATCACGTTGTAAAAGTCTCGTGAAATCCTTAAGATTTCGAGACAAATGTTTTGCCAAAGGTCAACTGTGAGGTCACCACAGGTTTTGACAGGTAAAAAGCGGTCGCTCCGATGGATGCAGTCACAACTCATGTGAATACGTCACCACGGATATTGAGGGCACGGTAGTAAACATTAAGACTGTGGGAAGTGGATTCCGAACATTTTTCTCCTTCATATGGGTCAGGTCAGATCAGCTCACCATTCAAAATCCATCTACCAGTAGCCTACAAGAACGTTACTGTTTCACAATGTTCTAAGTTCATTTCCTTACGTGCAGCTGTAAAGAAAAAACATTCCATCCACAAAAACACAATTTTAGGCTAAACTAGAGGTCGTCTGAAGTTAACTTAGGTCAAAATTGTAAGCAATTCAAGTGAAGAAAATTATGTACTTACCGAATCTATGTGAGCAGCTAATGCTTTTCTGTGGTCAGAAATAATGTATTGCCCGTCTATAGGTACTCAAGACCACATAGCTGTTGTTTGCAATAAACATCCCGTCGTATACCTTCCGTAATAGGCACCCTGTCGACGCTTGACAATGTATTTGAACAAACTGAGAACAGGCGCATTAGTACATGAATTTATGCGTCATCAGCCTCAGAAACACGATTAAGAGGTGATGACGCGTATCGCACCCGTTCATCTATCCTCTACGCTGCTGGCAGCATTGGTTTTTGACCCTGGATGACCTCATATGACCATGCATAACCTAGCGAGACCTAAAGTGACCACACCGTGCATTATAATAATATCACAGTATGTTTTCAGTGGAATGTTCGAATTATGCATCCAAAAGTACCCGTCAAAACTGCCCCTTTTGAGCTCAGCCGGTGTGTTTTGAGCTCAGCATATGTGTTTTGAGCTCAGCATGTGTGTTTTGAGCCCAGCATGTGTGTTTTGGGCTCAGCATGTGTGTTTTGCGGAAGGTATCCATAGAGTTAGGCCATGATCCGGGCCAAAACCATGTGCTCTGTGGTCATATGATGAGTGTGCATGGGGGTAAGCACTCTTAATTTCGTACACAAGCACCAATTCTACATAAAAATGTGTGCAAGTTTGCATTATTTTCGGAAAATAGTACAAACTGAAGTTACTTCAGACCACTGATTTCGCCTTACAAAAAAATCTGAACAATAAAAACTGTTGGTACAATCCTGTTTTACTACAAGCGCAAGTTTAAAGGGAATGTGTCTAATGTTCTCGGATTGCTCAATAAACGCCCAATGGGAGTCTGGCAACTAATTATGGCTAATTTCGGTTGCTAAAGGTGCCATTGGGTCTTGCAACAGTGCTGATTTATTCATTTTTGTCGATCCCATCGATGGCTGTGCGTGGAAAAAAAATACAATCCTGAAAGATAAACCAATCAGCGGGCAGGAAAAGACGAACGCACTGGCGTATATGTGGCGAGTACTCGTGCGCTAGAAACATGACCACTATTTTGGTTTCTAAGTAGCGTAGAGCAATCACATTTCCCAAGAGCCTGGTGCAGCCGACTGACGCGACACAATACTTGTTCCTCATCTCAGTATATAGAAGGCCGACATGAATTGGTGCGCATCAAATGACCAGCCTTACCATACGTCTAAACCCGTACGCCCGCAGCCTTGAGCTGAATGTGAAAAAATCAACATAATGGCCGTCGCCAACGCGTATGCAAGCTGCTGTCAGCGCTGACAAGCGACATCTTCGAAGAGCCATTGGCTAGAGCTAACGATACCTTCTCAATGATTTCGACGTATTTGTTAGTGAACATTGCTTGGGGGCTACCCGATGAATTTGTTCTTCCATACAAACCACGAAAAAATTGGCGGCTGCGGCAGTATCTCTTCAGTGGAGGCGAATTTGTAGCAACCGATGACACCAAAATTTGTAACTAGAAATTCCCCACCATCCTACGTGCGCAGCAAAAACATCCTAACTTGACTGGACGCACTCCCTTTAACCAATGGCAAATGACCCACGAAAAGTTAGCTGTGGCCAATCTTTTACAGGTTGATCTCTTTGACCTGGCCTAGGTCACTGATTGCTTGGTAGAAATTTAAACTTTGAACCAGGGATGTCAAACTGATAGAAAAAGAGGTATTGAAAATGTCGTGCTGCTGCGATCGTTCGCTTTTGACCTGGGCTCGAAAAAACCTTTGGGGGGGGGAAGCTAATTTTCCCCCGGCTGGGCGCGGATTAATTGTAATCCACATCTTGTCATTCCTGAATCATCAGGTGAAGCCATCACATATTCATCCAAAGGCTACCGATAATGAAGTCGTTAACCGCTGCACGTCTGGGAAGCCAGAGGCACAGAGTTCGATTCCTCGCGGTGCCCGCTCCTCCCGCCAAGGTGAGACGCAGGCGAAGCCATATAGCCTCATCAGCTGAGTGCGTCGTAAGGCCCCAAGGACGACGACAAATCCATCCAAATTCAATCAACAGTTCATCACTGCTTTTCAATCTGGTAGGATTTCGACAGCTTGCGATACCTATTACGCAGGAAGCACTGCTGGGTCCACCGCTACTCGGCTGCCGCGTGCCCTTGGAGCGCACCCCCCCCCCCCCCCTCCCCTTTCCGGCAGGCGATCTGCCGACTGCCGCGGGGCACGGCGATGGCCGGCCGGCGCGCAAGCCTATCAGCTGTGTTTGCCGGCCGTGATATTGGCTCTGATGTCGGCCGTTGTCCGGCTAATCAGCCGCTGCGATGGCGCCGCGACACGGCAGCGGCTGCGCGCTGAGCGCTGGACACGGCTCCTGTCCCTGAAGGGCCTCCTGTGGACGCCGACAGGCCGGCTGGCGCGCGCTGAGCGCTGGACACGGCTCCTGTCCCCGAGGGGCATCCTGTGGACGCCGACAGGCCGGCTGGCGCGCGCTGAGCGCTGGACACGGCTCCTGTCCCCGAGGGGCATCCTGTGGACGCCGACAGGTCGGCTGGCGCGCGCTGAGCGCTGGAAACGGCTCCTGTCCACGAGGGGCCTCCTATGGACGCCGACAGGTCGGCTGGCGCGCGCTGAGCACTGGACACGGCTCCTGTCCACGAGGGACCTCCTGCGGGCGCCGACACGTCGGCTGGCGCGCGCTGAGCGCTGGGCACGACTCCTGTCCCCGAGGGGCCTCCTGCGGACGCCGACAGGTCGACGGCAGCCAACAGTGCAGGCATGTTTGCACATTCCCATCAAGTGTTCGCTCGCCCGCATGATCCAACAGAATGTATGTGTGAACCCGCGTTGTCATGGCTCCGCGAACTCACGATGCCCCTCCCACAGAATGCGTCGCAGGGACCCCAGAGTAGCACGCTCTACTGCGGGTTGACTACCCTGTGCAGGAAAGGAGTACTCCAACTACGAAGCGCTCGTGGATTCGTCGTGGGCCGGTGGTGACAGGGACTCTGTGGAGCTGAGAACGTATCTTCCCCTTATTTATTTTTCCGCGGCACCTGGGGCCAATGTCACACAGCGAGAATCACAGAAAGAGCAGGCAGGCGCAATAGATCATTCAGGCTCAGGCATCGACGTAGCGCCTGAAGCTAAGTTATATCCTTGGGAGAATTTGAGCAGCGGGATTAGTTGGATCAGTGTCAGCATAGACATCTCTACATTTGCCCGGTCCTTGGTGGAACGGCTGCCCACTTTTGTCGTAAAAAAACGCATAAACCTCTTCACATCACCGGTCTGCAGATCGAAATACAGTCAATTGTCTGTTATGCCAAACCAGTACTGACTAGGCCGCTCCGAGACCACCGGGCGCCAGCGTGCATGGGTTTGTCCGCGGGCGAGAAATCAAATACGGGCCTCGGGCCATTTTGTATTCAAACTTCGAGAGTGAACCGAATGATTGTGCTCTCTTGAAATTTGTCTGATGAGAGCTGAAGTGAGCTAACTCGATTTCACAGAATGTACAAAGCAGTACTCAAGCAAAGTGTGTTCATTAAGGAGCATTTGTTTAACGTTGGTTTCCTGAAGGCGAATTGGTCGGTGTTATACTTTCGGAAGTCAGTGTCACAATGTTCTATGAGTAGCACGACACACTTGCGTGTTGGTAACCCGCAGTAGCGGTGCGAGCTGCCAGCTCATGCAAATGCGCCCTTGAAAGACCCACCTCCACCTCCACAAGGGAAGCTGCAGGGCCTTTTAAGAACAGGCATAAATGCCGTCGGCATTTCGTGGCGCTGTGTAAGCGAGGACCGGCAGAAGCAGTTGTTGATCGACAGCACTCATACAAAGCCAAGCCGTGCTCCGGCCGCCGCCCGAGCTGCGAAGGCCCTGGGTCGGGCGGATCTCGCGTGACGGTGCTGCAGCCTCAGCTGGTCGGTGCTGCAGACCCACGTGACAGCCGGCTAACACACCCGGCTGTCGGCCGGCAAGCCTGATCTAATCACGATAAGAGCGGTCTGAATCAATAATATCAACATCAAGCGCCGCACGCGGACACCCGCGGCCAAAACGGCC